AAAAAAAAAAAAAAAAAAAAAAATTATTGCAAGGAAATATTGTAATTCTATTAAAAAAAAATTTGCTTTTTTTCTCCTTTGTTTTGATCTTTAACATTTAAAAATATGCCATATTTTATTCCAGAAAAAAAAAAATTTTATTTCTTATTTTTATTATGGAATAAAAAAAAAACGAGAAGAAAAAAAACGATCAAAAATGAAAAAAAAAAAAAAAAAGAAGCAAATTTAATCCAATAAAGCAATTAACCAACAAATTACCGATTTTTGTTCATATCTCAATTCATAAATACAAATACAAATATGAGCATAAGGATAGACATAAAATTAATAAATAAATATGTTAATAGACCTTTTATTTATTTATTTTTTTTCAATGTTATATAAGCATACGTATGATAGTATCCTTCATCCCATATACTTTTGGAATTTGTATGAGTGGATATATTTGCTGACATGGACAAAAACCTTGAACAATGAAGATTAATGGTAAGGAAATAATTTTCATATCCAACTTTATTTTTTCCACTTTTTTCTATTTCCACAATAGTTTTCTGCTTCACTAAATTCATCCTTTTGTTTGCAGCAGCAGCAGCAGTAGTAGCAGCAGCAGCTTTTTCTTTGCTTCAGCTTACACAGATATACGTAAACTTTTTTTTGTTTTTTTTTTTAAGAAAATTTTTATAGCTATTTTAGTTCTTATTTTTTCAATCTTTTTTTTTTTTTCTATATTTTCTTATTTTTTTTGTTTTTGTTTTTGTTCCTATTTTTATTTTTATTCTCTTTTACTTTCTTTTCATATTTTTTATTTTTTATTTATTTTTTATTTTTTTTGGAGAAATTTCTCTAGTTTTCACTTCCGATAATGAATCTAATTCGGCAGAAACTTTTGGTCCACAATTTTGAACCGCCATTAAATGTTAACTACATACTTTTTTTTTTTCTCCCATCTTTTCCCTGCGTCTTCATCATAACTAAGAGGAGATTCATAATTTATTAGCTTCTAAAACATCTGTCAAGTTTGTAGTGTCTTGAAAAAAAAAAAATTATTTATCCTTTTTAAATTTAGCAGCAAAAACAACAGCAGCAGTAGCAATAGCATCATCATCTTCATCATTAGTAGTAATAGTTGTAGTATTTGTAGTAGTAGTAGTAGTAGTAGTAGTAGTAGTAGTAGTAGTAATTAGAAGTAAGAAGAGCAGCAATAATAATGATGATAATGGTATTGACAGTAATGAATAACAACAATAATAAGAATAAAAACAACAGCCATAATCATAATTACAACCAAAAATTGTGGAACTGAACAGGTAAAAGGCACTAAGTGTATCAGTTGGCTTAATAACCAAACGAAGTTGCCGTCGTTGTTGAATATCACACTGATGCTGGTGTTCATAGTTGGCGAAATTTTATACAAGAAAAAAAAAAAAAAATATATATATATATATAGCTAATTAACTGCTGCAGTCATTGCAGTGAACGGTGGTGGTGGTGGTGACTACGACAGCAGTTAAGGCGACGGACAAAGCGGTGTAGCAGTGCTGACAGCGGCTGCGACAACATTGACAGCGATTTTCTATAAGGCTCCGTAGATATTTGCTCCAAAATTTATCTTTAAAACATGTAATTACCATGTTAAAGAGCAACACTGGCTACATATTTGCAACTTTAATTACTGAAAACCT